CAATCCACTCACCTCGGCCTCCCAAAGCATGGGATTATAGGCTGAGCCACCGAGCCCGGCCGACTTTTTTGGTTTTAAATCCCAGGCTAGCCAGGAACGGCGGCTCACACCTGTAACCCCAGCATTTGGGGAGGCAGAGGCAAGAGGATTGTCTGAGCCCAGGGGTTCAACATCAACCAGGGCAACATAGCAAGCCTTGCTTCTACAATAGAAAAATCAAGATATTAGCCAGGCGTGTTGGCCCGTGCTTGTAGTTCCAGCTACTTGGGAGGCTGAGGTGGAAGGATCGCCTGAACGCTAGAGGTCAAGGCTGCTATGAGCCATGGTTGTGCCACTACCCTCCAGCCTGGGCAACAGAGTGAGACTCCCAACTCACAAAAATAAATAGATATGTAAATAAATAAATTCCAGACTTTTGGACGTTGTCTCTGCATCTCTGGCAGGAAAAAGGGAATGGTCAACAAGGACAGTGTGGACTAGACACTTCCCTAAGCACATCGCACATTTACTTTTTGGAGGGTTTTTTGTTTATTTGTTTTTGTTTTTGTTTTCAGTCAGAGTCTCACTGTATTGCCCAGCCTGGAGTTCAGTGGCACGCTCACTGCCATGGTATCCTCAACCTTCTGGGCTCAAGTGATGCTTCTGCCTCAGCCTTCCAAGTGCTGGAACCACAGGCACATACCGCCCCAGCTAATTTTGAAGTCTCACTCTTGCCCAGGCTGGAGTGCAGTGACACGCTCTCGGCCACCGTAGCCTCAACCTGCGGGGTTCAGGCGATCCTTCCACCTCAGCCTCGCAAGTAGCTGGAACTATAGGTGCATGCCACCACACTCAGCTAATTTTTTTATTTATTTGGAGACGAGGTCTCGCCAAGTTGCCCAGGATGGTCTTGAACCCCTGGGTTCAGGCAGTTCTCTTGCTTCTGCCTCCCAAAGTGCTGGGATTACAGGCAGGAGCCAACGCGCCCGAGTAATTTTTTTATTTATTGTAGAGACAAGGTCTTACCATGTTGTCCAGGCTGGTCTCAAACTCCTGGGCTCAGGCAATCCTCTCACCTCGGCCTCCCAATGTGCTGGGAGGCATCTACTTATTTAGACCATGCAGCAGTCCTATGGGGTGAATACTTTTATCATCCCCAGTTTACAAAAGGGAAAACTGAGATACAGGGTTGCAAAATGACTTGCCCGAAGCCAGGCAGCTGAACCCAGGCAATTGGGGCTGGGGTACACTGCTGCACTGCTGGGGTGTTTGTTGAGTGACTGCAGACCAGGAGTGACACATGCCCTCTGGTCCTCTCCCCAGCCGAACCACAGAACCATGCTGAGACCCAAGAGGTCACACTCAGCCTGGACCCTGTGCCCGTGGCCCGCTGCGTCTCCACAGGGGGCCGCCCGCCTGCCCGAATCTCCTGGCTCTCCCCCCTGGACGGGGAGGCGAAAGAGACCCAGGTGTCAGGGCCTGTGCCTGGCACAGTCACCGTCACCAGCCGCTTCACCTTGATACCCTTGGGTCGAGCAGATGGTGTTAAGGTCACCTGCAAAGTGGAACACGAGAGCTTCAAGGAGCCAGTTCTGCTACCTGTGACCCTCTCCGTGCGCTGTGAGTATGCCAGGAGGTGACCCTACTGCCACCCATACTGCTTACACTGGCTTCTCTGGGGTACTGTCTACACTGTCCATGCATGTTGTCTGCTTTGACTCCCTTGGGTCAATTCTGCACTGCTTTCCTGCCACTGTCTACACTGGCTTTGATGGGTAACATCTGCATACGCCCCCCCATCATCTACACTGACTTCACTGGGCTCCTGCTTTGTGCCCGTCAGTGGCAAGCTGGGACGGACTTGCAGGAGCCAACTGTACGTTTACACGGGATTGAACTTAACCTTGGGGGAATACTCACATCAAGGAAATTGGCAAGCACCACAAATCAGGGCTCTTTTTCCCTTTTTTGTTTTTTTGAGTTGGAGTCTCATTCTGTCACCCAGGCTGGAGGGCAGTGGCACGCTCCCAGCCACCATAGCCTCGACCTGCTGGGCTCAGGTGATCCTTTCGCCTCAGCCTTCCAAGTAGCTGGAACTACAGGCATGCGCCACTATGCCCAGCTAATTTTTTTTTTTTAATAGAGATGAGGTCTCACCAAGGTGCCCAGGCTGGTCTCGAACCTGCAGGCTCAGGCAATCTTCTCACCTCAGCCTCCCTAAGCGCTGGGATTATAGGCATGAGCCACCGCACCCGGCTTTTTTTCCTTTTGCAAAGAGCTATTTACCAGCGGATGGCTTGCCCTGCCCCCGCATTGTCCTTTCTGACTCCTGTGGACCCCAGGTGACCCTGTTCCCTGACTGTCTGTATCATCTATCCTGCCTAACTGCAGGGTCCGACCCAACATGGTGTACACCTTCCCACACTGTCTAACCAGCTTCCCTGGACACTGTTTACCCTGACTCTCCCCAGATCTCTACACCAACCCCTGTTCCCCAATATTATTGGCACTGGCACCCCTGGGACCTGTTGATTCTGGCCCCCTCCCATGCATTTGGTGCTAGCTCTTCCAGAAACGGCCACACCGACACCCCTTAATCACCCATAGAGGCTCTCCTGATGCTGTGCCAAGAGACTCTGTCAAATAGCCGAGGCCAGAGGATCGCTTGAGCCCAGGAGTTCAAGACCAGTCTAGGCAACATAGTGAGATCTCACCTTTTAAAAAAATAAAATAATCTGGCAGGGTGGCGCACACCTCTAGTCCCAGCTACTCGGGAGGCTGAGGCAGAAGGATCACCTGAGCCCAGGAGGTCGAGGCTGTGGTGAGCTGTGATGGTGCCACTGGGTGGCACAGTGAGACCCCGACTCAAAATAATAATAAATAATAAACATATATTTTGGGTGGTGGCTCCTCAGGTATTACCTGCACGGGACAATAACTCCCACAAAATTACCCAGTGGCTTCCCTGGACAGTGTCTACGCTGGCTTCAGTATACGCAGCCTGGACTGATTTGTCCTAGACGGTTCCGACCAGTGTACCCCCTACCAACCATGACTTTAGGATTCCTGTCTGTCTGCTAACCTATCCATCCCCTCTGGGATCTCCGCATCCCTGAGCCAGTCCCCTGTTTCTCCCAGACCCCCCTGAGGTGTCCATTTCCGGCTATGATGACAACTGGTTCCTTGGCCGTGGTGAGGCCACCCTGACCTGCAATGTCCGCAGCAACCCAGAGCCCACGGGCTATGACTGGAGCACGTGAGTCCCGGGTGAACCCAGACCCCTGGGACTAGGGGAGGGGGTGCTGGGGGCTGAGGGAGGAGGGGGCTGAGGCTTGGACTCCTGGGTCTGAGGGAAGAGGGGCTGGGACCTGCATTCCTGAGTCTGAGGGAGGAGGGGTTGGGGGCCTGGACCCCTGAGTCTGAGGGATGAGGGGTTGGGGGCCTGGACCCCTGGGTCTGAGGGAGGAGGGACGGGGCCTGGGCCCCTGGGTTTGAGGGAGGTGGGGCGGGGCCTGGACTCCTGGGTCTGAGGGAGGAGGGGCTGGGGGCCTGGACCCCTGGGTGTGAGGGAGGAGGGGCGGGGCCTGGATCCCTGGGTCTGAGGGAAGAGGGGCTGGAGGTCTGGATCCCTGGTTCTGAGGGAGGAGGGACTGGAACCTGGACTCCTGGGTCTGAAGGAGGAGGGGCTGGAACCTGGACTCATGTCCCATGATCCAGAACCTCCAAGTCCTCTAGGATGGAGGGAGCTTGCAGTTCAGAAGTTCGAGGTCTCCGGGAGTAAGCTGACTCCCGAGAGTGTCATCAGGGATGACACCTGGGCTCCCCTGTGGAGCCTGGCGTCCCCCTTACCTGACTCCCCGCCCCTTCAGGACATCGGGCACCTTCCCCACCTCAGCAGTAGCCCAGGGACCCCAGCTGATCATCCGCTCGGTGGACAGGCTGGTCAACACCACTTTCATCTGTACGGTCACCAATGCCGTGGGCACAGGCCACGCCGAGCAAGTTGTCTTCGTCCGAGGTAAGCGGGTCTCAGGAGCGGCATGTGAAGACCCTGCTCTGCTCCCTCGTTGTTCCCGGCTTCGGGGCTGGAGGACTGCATGGGGAGGCCATGTCGCCCACCTGGGGAGGGATTCAGACCCGCCTGGCTGATGGGAGATGAGCATGGTTTGGCTTTTCTTCATGCTTTCAGGGATCTGGATTGAGGGTGACAGGTAGGGCGCAGGTAGAGGAGGTCAGGTGCTTGGGGTTTCCTAGAAAGTAAAGCCCAGTGTCTCAGATCTATAATCCCAGCACTTTGGGAGGCTGAGGCAGGAGGATCACTTGAGCCTAGGAGTTGGAGACCAGCCGCAACCTAGTGAGATCTTGTCTCTACAAAAAATCCAGAAATTAGCTGGGCGTAGTGGCTCACGCCTGTGGTCCCAGCTACTCAGGAGGCTGAGGACCAAGAGGCAGAGGTTGTGGTTAGCTGTGATCATGCCACTGCACTCCAGCCTGGGTGACAGAGTGAGATCCTGACCCCTGAACCCCCCCCCCAAATTTTTTTAAATAAAAAAAAAGCCAAATGTGGCGGCTCACACCTGTAATCCCAGCACCTTGGGAGGCGGAGGTGAGAGAATTGCCTGAGCCCAGGGTTTCGAGACCAGCCTGGGCAACGTGGCCAGACCTCTTCTCTCTACAATAAATCAAAAAAATTACCTGAGTGTGGTGGCACATGCCTGGAGTTCCAGCTGCTTGGAGGGCTTGAGGCAGAAGGATGGCCTGAGCCCAGCAGGTCAAGGCTGCGTGGCCGTGAGCGTGCCACTGCACTCCAGCCTAGGTGGCAGAGTGAGACTCTGACTCACAAAAAAAAAAAAAAAAAAAAGAGAGAGACCTGGAAAAGATCTTCAGGGAGAGATTCAGGGTGCTTCCTTGGAACTCAGCTTGTGAGGGACAGTCAGGCTCACAAAGGTCAGAGAGATGGGAACAAACAGCTCCCACCCCCACTCAGAAATACCGACAGTCCCCAACGCATGGAGCCAGGCAGGAAAAGCGCAATGTCGAGCCAGGCAGGCGATGGAAACGAGTGGAAATTACCACTGTATAGCCACAACTCCAGAGGGAGAGACGGACCATCCCAGGGCCATGTGACCTGAGACAGAGGCACGGACCCCAGAGCTGGGACCAGAAACCCCTCGTGTCTGAGCCCCAGCTGGCAGGTCCAGCGTCCACAGAGATACACCCTGTGCTGGGCGATTCTGCTGCAGAGAATCCAGACACTTGCCCGAAATGTCCCACATACACTCAGACCTATTGTCGCCAAGGCACACACAGGGGAGAACAGTGGCACCAGGCAAGACAGACTGAGCAATTCAGGTGACGCCAGACCAGAACCCATGGGATGCCACACATACCTGGAGCGGGCCATTCTTAGAAACACCCTCTCAGCATGACGGTCCATGCAGGCACCATGTGGGAATAGTGGCCCCGGGGCACAGTAGCAGAGCCCCTTCAGAAATGTGACTGGCCAGGCTCGGTGACTCAGCCTGTAATCCCAGCACCTTGGGAGGCCGAGGAGAGTGGATTGCCTGAGCCTGTGGGTTCGAGACCAGCCTGGGCAATTTAGCGAGACCTCATCTCTACAATATATGAGGGGGAAAAAATAGCTGGTGTGGTAGCGCACACCTGTAGTTCTGGCTACTTGGAAGGCTGAGGTGGAAGGATCGCTGGAGCCCAGCAGGTTGACGCTGGGTTGGTGGTGAGTGTGCCACTGCACTCCAGCCTGGGCACCAGAGTGAGACTCCAACTCAAAAAAAAAGTGACCAAAGATGGAGGGACAGGCTCACACACATGGGCTGTCCTTATCACGCAGACATGTACCCAGAGACGGACAGAGGCAGGCAGGCCCTCTTCCTGAGACATAGCTTATGACACACAAGTTTACAGGGACACCCAAAGGAAACAGACTTCTCTTCAGGACTCCTGACACCTGCCAGGGAGCTAGGACAGTTCTTTCAGAAACACTGTCACATATGACAAATCCAGAGAGACAGCTAGCCCTCTCAGTGTATCCGACAATGCACGTAAACTTGCACACATGGAAGGAGACACACCAGGAACGACATGAATCTCAGCAGAGAGACAGCATGCCTAGAAATATCAGTCATCCATCTCACACACACACACTCAACAGGAAACTCCAACCGGGCATGGTGGTTCACACCTGTTATCCCAGCCCTTTGGGAGGTCGAATCAGGAGAACTGCTTGAGCCCAGGAATTCGAGGTTGTAGTGAGCTATGACTGCGCCACTGCACTCTGGCCAGGATGACAGAGCAAGAGTTTGTCTCAAAAAAAAAAAAGCTAGAAATGGTGGCTCATGCCTATGATCCCAGCACTTTGGGAGGCTGAGGCCAGAGGACTGCTTGTGCCAGGAGTTCGAGACCAGCCTAGGCAACGTAGGGAAGCCTCATCTTTACACAGAAAATAAAAAAATTAGCCAATCATAGTGGTGCACACCAGTAGTCCCAGCTACTCGGGAGGCTGAGGTGGAAGGATCGCCTGAACCCAGGAGGTCGAGGCTGTGGTGAGCCCTGGTTGTGCTACACACTCCGGCCTGAGCAACAGAGTGAGACTCTGACTCAAAAACAAAACAAAACAAAACAAAAGGGACTTCAAGACATTCTGGGAGGAGCATGTTGTCCAGAAACCCCGTTATGGAGATTCTCACTCAACAAATATGTGTTCCCCTCTGCCTGGAATTCTCCTTGAGGTTGGGAATACAATGGTGATCGAAACCGCTGTCCCTGCCCTCAGGCACACCCTGGCAGGGACAGTCCCACCCGCTCAGCCGGACACCCAGCTGGAAATACACCCCTAAGCCTCTGCCCCAGATATACCCGAAAAGCTGGTCCCCTGCCATGCGCTCAACCGGCGCCTCCAAGGTCGGAGCGCACAGGACACAGACACAGTCACACTTGGGGGATTACACCACCTCAAAAGCACGGAGACCCCTCCAAACGCACAGACACACGGTCAGGAGAGGCCCCGGGGCTGACCAGCAGAGGGCGCCCCTCCAGCTTCAACCCAGCCACATATTCATTCAATCAGTGAAAATAGACCGTGGGTGTCCACAGTCACACCCTGGAGGAGAGACATCCCGACACACAGCCCCCCCACCTGCCTCAGTTGTAGCCACAGACCCGCCCACAGTCAGCATCATCCCAAGTTGCAGGGAGGAGGGGTCGGGGGCAAGGACTCCACGCGGGAATGGCAGGTCTGCCCAAGCGACAGGAAGTGAGTGTCCCAACAGACAACCACACTCAGAGAGGACACACAAAGCTCCCATTCGACCCGCTGTCAGAGGGGCACTGAGCCACAAATCCACATTCCCAGGTACACACAGACACTGGCGCAGAGACTCAGTTTGGGGTTCATACCAGAGCAGACATGGGGTCTGAGGGAGGAGAGGCTGGGGCCTGGACCCTGAGCTGCACCATGGGACGGACATCAATTACTTTAGGGATACTCAGAGAACTTTGGGCTCACAGACACATGGACAGACTCAGTCTTGAGCTCCAAAAATGCCAGCACCACCCCCAGAAACAGACACGCGCCCCAATACGAGCTCAAAGCGGTTTCCAGATGTTACTCACCAGCACTCACAGCAAACTTTTTTTTTTTTTAATAAAAATGGGAACTGGGCTCGGTGGCTCAGCCTGTAATCCCGCGCCTTTGGGAGGCTGAGGTGAGAGGATTGCCTGAGCCCGCGGGTTC